TATCTATCTATCTATCTATCTATCTATCTATCTATCTATCTATCTATCTATCTATCTATCTATCTATCTATCTATCTATCTATCTATCTATCTATAGATAGATCACCCTAATTTTTTTTTCTTGATAGTTATGAAAAGTTGTGGAGACCTCGTTGTGTTGAGATCTGGTGAGCATAGCAGCTGTCACAGCATTTGAGTGTCATTTTCACACTCATGAAAACCATTTAGTGACCTCCTCTGCCTGATGGGGGGAACTGCCACCTCTGAAGAAACCACTGCCATCAGGATAGAAACGTTTAATCGCATGATTTAAGTGATCGGAAGAACTTTGTAAAGTGAAGTGACCGTGCACTCTGCGGAGACAAGTAGAAGTAACACGATGATAGCATGCCCTATCTACACCACACATGAATCACTCAGTTGTGAGAATATGGAGAGGAATGACTCATCTAATATCGTTTCCCACTGCATCTCTAGACTAGTGCCTGTGGCTTTTGTACCACAGACGTGCATTTATCATTGTAATAGGGTTTGTGCACTGCAACACAATATCTCCCTTTATGTAAATGTCACTGAAAGGTTTTTGCTGACAACCTAGGGGGAGGATTGCTCTTCTGTTTCTCCTCACATATTGCACTAATGCACATCAAACGTGAGCTGCTGACCACAATTTCCAAGCCTTTTTGTTTTGTTTTTTTGAAACTGATGTCTTTACCATAGATGCAAATTAGGAATTCTTCCAAAATGGAAAAAGCTGAACAGTCTCTGTGGCTGTGAAGCTCCTCTTTCAGTGTCTAATTACTTACCCTATTTTTTTTATACTGTCACGGACTTAAAATGTTCATGAGCTTTAATCCAGAAGATGGCAGTATGGCCCCACCAAATGCTGAACAAGCTGGCTTGCGTGAGCAGTTTATTATTTATTTCTAAAATTACTGTAAAAAAATAAACAAACAAACCAAAACATGCGTCTAGCCCTAATATGAAAAAACAAAACAAAAGGACCCATCTTTTAAATTCACTGCAGCCCCAGTTCTCTTTGTCATAGTAATACTGAGCTGATTCAGGCTGGTGACTCATTAAAATATGTGACCAGTCAGGAAGCAACGCATGAACCAGGTGTGGAGCAACAGGAAGTTGATAATCAAATTATGCAATGTAAATAATTTGGTTTAGAAATGTTGAAAGACAAAAACACTCAGAAAATTACTATCTTGTAGAAAACAAAGTTAGTGGGGTTATCTGTGTACTCTGCTGCCTAAAAGGACCCATCTTCAGCCCTACGGGTCACACGAGCTGAGGTCAAGCTTATTTATTGGCCCTGCTTTCTTTTTCTGTCACCTACAATGAGTCACCCTGATAGGCCTGAGGTGAGAAGGCCTAGCCTTTTTTTTAGACAACCCAATAGAGCAGAACCAAGTAGCCATAAAATGGGATGGATGAATTTGTTTGCTTGGAAAGGTGAGCTGCTCGAGGCACTCAATAATTCAGTGTTTGTAACAGACGGTGCATCAGTGGGTGAACACTTGCAGGCATGCCTGATGGATAGTCCCTGCCAAAAGCCAAAAAAGCTGAACCCCATTATTCATATTGTAATACGATCTGTGGAAACTCTGCAGCCTGTTGCCTCTCTTGTCTCAGCTGTAATAATCTGGCATAGGTGTCCACTACTATGAATTTTTTTGACCTGTGGGGTGGAGTGCTGCTGTTTGACTTTGGACACACTGATGCTTTCAGACTTTTGTCGTTTGACTTCTAAAGAGTCATAAACACTGCTGCTGCCGCTGCGTCATCCATTATTTACCTGTGCGTAACTGAGGATGCCAATTGGACTTCAAGGCTTATTAAATGCACACCTGATAATACCCATTATAAAGGACTAAGCAGCTACCATACTAGAGGAACCCTGGATCACCTGTCAGGTTGGGGGGGGGCCCAGCTATAGTTAGAAGTGTTTGTGAACTTAAGAAGCATCAAGGATGGCAAACCCATTTGAGTCTGTCAACTTATAAATACTTAAGGTACTTTTACTGAGGGGGGAAACAATAAAGAAGAACATGAGTGGTGTGCCAGTAATGACAGGATTGGCAAGACGTGCAATGATCAGAGGGGAAAGATCAAAAGTGCAAAAGGATATGCTGGAATATTTTCACCCAGAGTTATTATCCTAACTTGATTGAAGGCAGTTGCCCTTTCACCCATTCTCCTCTTTTTATTGCTGTAATTGACCTATGCCCACTGCCTCCCCCCAACCACCTTTCCCCACCCACCCCTTCCTGATATAAGACAGACAAAGAGAGCAAAATGCAAACACACACCCTGTAAAGTGTGTGCACATACACACATGCAGAGGCAAGCTCGGAGCCATATCTCATTACCATTCTACTGATAGTGCAGCCAGTGGGTGTTGCAAGAGGAGGAGAGAAGGAGAGCAAGACAGTGAGCTTTAGAGAGGGACAGAGAGAGAGAGAGAGAGAGAGAGAGAGAGAGAGAGAGAGAGAGAAGGGGGGTCGGGGGTGAGGACAAGCAGGGAGCCAGAGGCAGTGCTAAGGAGAAGGGAGAGCACGAGCACTCCACAAAGATAACAGGAAACACAGGAGATACGTGTGGGAGCAGCGTATCACTAAAAGAAAAGCAGAGACAGAGCAGGGGATTCAGAGCCTGCAAGTCCAGCGTGCCTGTAGGTCTGTCTGTGTTCCAGCTCGGTGCGTTTCCACGGATCTCCTGAGGCCGTGGCAGCCATGGCATCAGACCCTAGCACCCAGTCCAGGGTGATGTTCCAGGCAACAGACAAAGCAGAGGAGCCGGCGCACCGCAAACTTGGCAAGCTGACAGTCAAATACAACCGCAAGGACCTGCAGAAGAGGCTGGATATCGAGGAGTGGATCGACGGGCAGCTGCACCTGCTGTTTGACTGTGAGGTAGGACGGGGCTGGCTCACACAGACACTCACTCAGAAGCACGCTGTGCCGGGGGTGGCCAAAGAGGAGGAGAGGGGAGCAAGTAAGGGGAGAGGCACCGAGCCGCTCAAAAAGGGTGCTTGTAATAGAAACGACAAGAACCTCATAGGGGAGTGGGTGGTAGGAAAGTAGCTGTGTTTCACGGCTGTTCTTTCTGGTACAGAAACCCTTGCATGTCATCAAAATGACTGAGGTGCCAGCTGTGTGGTCTTCTGCACTAAGAGATCGAATGATTTTGCAGAGAGGGGACGTGACTAGTAAGCACGACCACAATTACACACCTCGGTCTCTTTAAGCATACGTGGTCGCCATGTGGCTACATTAAGATACGAGGCGTTTAGATGATGTCCTTGCACATAACAAAGTTGTACAGTGAGGCAAGCAACAGTAACAGTGAGTCAGTGCACCAAAACAATTATGTCACAATCCAACGTCTGCGTGTCTTGTGACAGATTCACCCAGTCACTCAGTAACTATGTAATCGAAAATACAGTACATAGTTTGATTGCTCACATATAAGGAAATGATTAACGATGATGGTTTCGATATAGAAATTAACATGCAGCAGGCATTGGAAAAAACAAAAGATATGCAGTCTGTATTACCACAGGACATGTGATGGTTAAAGAGTTACATCATGGAAAAGCATTACTATTACTTCCATAGCGAATTTATTCCATGCTCTGAAGACGGCTTCGTTTTAATACAGCGAGGACTCTACCAACAACAACATCCTTCATATCTTCCCTCCTGCACGGTGGGATGCAATCCAATTATGTCAGAGGCTCCATATTGATTTGCTTGGCGTTCACTAAGGGGAAACCATGGCAACAGATGTCTCGTCGCCTACACGAGGCGGTGTGGCACGTTGGAATTAAGGGTGCCTGTTAAAGGAGGGCGAGCTTTCCAGTGACGACGTGGATCAGATGACAACGCAGCCTCAGTTTCGTGCCGGAGAACTCAGAGACAAAGTGTTTCTCGTTTCTCTCAAACCACACGGAGGCTCTCCTCACTTTAAGATGGTCTAGAGCCACCTCTCTGCCTGGCATCCCTTTACATGATCAATAAACCCTTTTCATGTTGCATAAAGCAATGCATAATAGTTAGGGCTGAATCTGATGACCCTGAATCCTCTGTTAGTTACACTGTGAGTGTTTCTTCTTCACTCTTTATTTGTGTTTATACACATTTTGTCCTGTCCTGGCTGTGTCTTTCTGAGTCTGGTTTCGCTGGAGATTTCTTCCTCATTAGCTCAAAGGTGGTCGTTACCTTTACCTTACAATATAAAGCCCCTTAAAGTGACTGCTGTTGTGATTTGGTGCTACATAAAAAAAATTGAATTGTAATTGAATTGAATATAGAAACACTGCAGAGCACGAGCAGGTGGGCAGATCTATGGCTGCCTGCGGACAGGGAAGTTCTGTGGAGAAAATCTGAACATGATTAGATGACGTCTTTATCTAAACCAGGGTTAAGCCTGGCTGCCTTAAAGTTAAACCATTTGAGTCACAACTCAGGGTACAAATTTCCCACGTGTGGGACTAATAAAGGTTATCTTATCTTATAAAGGTTATCTTAAGTGTTTTCCTCCTCAGGATACTTGTTTTGTGAGCCTCTTGGTAATATATGTTAATATGCTTGCGATGCTGAGGGCAGAATAAATCACATTAGTTGAAACTGGGACACATAGACAAAAACAGATCCAAAGTCTTGTCTTTGTCTACTCTTTTGATCTTGTCCCAGAAACATACAATTATTTTAGTACTTCTGCTTTTTCGTTCTGGTTCTAACGTGATCAAACATAAGTGTAATTGTGCAGCACATGTACAGCACAGATAGCAGATGTTCGCCCTGCCGCAGGATGGACGGATTCTCGGTATAACTGACAACAGAGCAATAACACAATGCATTTCTTTGATGGGTTTACAATAATACCTGCTACCACTGACTTCAAGTACCTTGTCTTTACAATTTCCTTAAGACAAACCTACATTCTTTACATATGGAAATTAAGACTCAACTTTCCAGTTTGGATAGCCTGAATATTTGCATCAGGTCCTCATGTGGGATTATTTGCTCTTGTCCACGTGCACAGGCCAGTGTAATGAATTTTGCATGGGCTCGGGGGAAGGTTCCTTTGTTGGTTGTCTGAGTCTTCCACGTGGAAGCATTTACCGTCAGTCCCCTGTGTCACCGCCTGAATTATTTAGACACATCTCTAATTCATAGAAAGCACTGCCTCAGCCTGGTGTGGCGGCTTCCGTTTGCAGAATTCACACCTTTCAAACTATACTATACAAACTATATACTAAGTAAAGAATTCTAAAATAGGCAACGCAACCTCTCAGTCTGCATGCTTCGATTTAGACAGACACTTCTATTTTCCCCACTGAGTGTCAGTCTTCGTTAGTGAAAACTTGTTTTTTTAAATGTGCAGACTGCAGAAATTTCCACCGAGAGACAGTAATTTGTTTGAGACTTTATGCAGACTGGGATGAATCCTATGAAGTTCAGCTGATTCTTGTTTAAAAAATTGCTCAGATTTGTATGTAATTAGACAACAGGATAAGGCTCCCTTTTTTCTCTTGCAACTCTGCCGTGACTCACTTGCTGAAGTTAATGAATATTTTGAGATGTGGACAGCTCGTGCTTCTGGCAGGAAAAGGGAAGGGGATGATAAGTTAACATGTGCCGGCATCTTCTCGAAACAAGACACGTTTTCCTGGGCATGGCTTCCTGTGTAATAACAAACACCATGATGAGCGTTTGATGTTAATGTTTGTTAATATCTTGTTATAAGGAAAGGCTAGTGAACCGTGTTACTGACTGTGTTATGAAATTACAGGAAGTTCAACTAAACCTGTTATAATAATAAAAAAAGAAAAAAAAGAAAAAGCTGTCGTGTTGTTAGCTGCTCATGCCCACAATAGTGAAGTGTTAGTGAAAATAGCAAACCCTTCCTGTCTAATCCCTGCTGCTGCTTAGCAAAGAATAATACAGCATCATCAAATCTAAGTGTTCAGTGGTCACAGCAATAAGCAAAGTTTAGTTTGCTTATTATTCACCAGCTGATTATTAGAGCTATGCAAAAGTGGTAATGCTCTTCTTAATATCAGTAAATATCCAAATTGAAGCTGAATAAAAAATCAGACATAGCTTGAATTTCCTGTCTGGTACTTAATAAATGTCAAGGAGTGATATTGATTGCTCAGTTAACAGGTCAAAGGTCACCAAAGTCATTATTCCCTTGGGATATCAAATGTCAACATATTACACAACAATTTTATTGGCTCAGACACCCTCTCTTGATTTAAGCAGTGAGAATATCACATCCTAAGGCAAAGCTAATGGCAAACACTCTGCACATAGTAGCTACTGTTCTATATGTGGACAGTTTCCCATCACTGCAGCTCAGGAGTGCTTGCTGAGAGAGTTTTAGGTCAACTCCCAATAATGGTGAAATTTAAAAATTGTAAAATTCCGGTGGAAGTCGTCTTATCTTCGCAACATATTTGCACTACTACCATCTGAAGCTTCAGTCCTCTGAGAGCCACTTTGATATTCATGAATTTCAGCATTAGTGCCAACATCGGTTTTAGCTTTAGTATATTGCTTTTTAACTTCAAAAAGTGCTGCTGAGATGGTTTCCACCCAGAGGCCTCATTAAAAGGCCCTTTCCCTCTCACAATGAAGGTAAATCCCGGCGAGAAATACTGGGAAGTTAGAATGAGGATCAGATTGTGAGTCTTCGTGATAAACGCATGTGTTCCTCCCAGCAAGGGGAAGCCGTCGCTCATTGATATTCAGCAGTGCTCTGCATTGCCTCACTTTCAGAGGCAGACTGAGGAAGTTTAAGAGCAGTATAAGTACATGAGAGCTCCAGGTTTCCTTTTCACTGGACATGAAGTATACTTATACACATTTCTATCCGGCTGTTCAGTCTGACGTCACTAGCCGTGTCTGGGCCTAAACTCCGCTGCAGGTCCATATATCAAACGATCACTATGGCATTACTGAGAGTTGAAAAACTGTCTAAAGTCTTTCATCTTTAATAAAATGATCAGCGTTCTGCTCTACCAGGTGTAACAATCGAGTTTAACATCCAGGCATCCATGAAAACAGAATTTATGACATTTAACGGAGTTAGAAGTTAGCAGGGAGTTAGCTCGCTAGCTTCTATCTAAATACAATATAGCATGTCCTGACTGCGGGGTTTTGGAAACAAATTCAAACGTACAGCTCTGTTATCACTTCCAGCATAAATGAAGACAGAAAACTAAACAGCAGTGACGTTTGTAGGGTTACTGAAGTTGGGCTAGCTGGTATATAATGATGTGCTACGTGACCGCTAGCGACACAGCTATGTTAGCATAATATAAACAAGCTAACTTTTTTTCCACTGGATAAAATTTAACGTGAGTGTTCTCGGTGGTCAGGAACAAATGTAATCGCATGGCAGGATGCTGTAAAAGGACCAAACTTCAGCCAGGAGAACAACTGAGATAATCATCCACAATACGAGGTTAGTCATTCATGTACTGCTGCATGGGCTGGGCTGTAGCTACATCCTAAGGTTTTAAAAACTGAGCTTAAATAAATGATTAGCAGTAATAAAAGACGAGGGAGGTCAACAATGATCACTGACTGTTTTAGGAGCTTTTTGAGATCAAATAGAAGAAAATACAAAACATTAAACATGTTAACAACACAAAAGCCATATTAAACGCAGACTACTTTAGACCCAGAAGTAGGATTCCGCGCGTCATCACTGAACAACCGGATTCTCATACAATTATAGTAGAGCCACTGAATGGCTCCAAATGGTGAAAATTAAACCTCTTCAGTCATGTCATAGGTAATCTTAGCACTGTTTGGAATGCATACTGAACACAATTCTACAAAACCCCAAACCCCAAACCATTTTAATAAATACAAGTATAATAATAAATGTATTCACTGCTTTTTTTTCTTTTAGTCATTAAGATGCTTTGTTGAAGTTTTTCAGGATTACACTATCAGCACTTTTGAACCAGGTCAAGTACAAAAAGACCAACCGCAGTACAGTTGGTAAAGCAAAGTCCATAAATGCACAGCTTAGATATAATAATAATAAAAAAAAACCTTCGGCACTGCATTTATCCTGCAGACATCAGCAGAATTACACAGGGTCCAAATTGGCAGTGTGTATCAATTAGAGGCAGGCACGGGGGCCCATCTATTCTGCCACTCAGCACTTCCGCATTGATTAGCTCTCTCTCCACATCTAGAAAGCTGTGTGAGCCCCGTCCTTTCATGTCATGAAAGCTCCCAAACTAGAAAATATTCCTCCTAATAAAAAAAAGAGACCACACTCGTCAAATATGAGCATGCACCTGCTGACTCCAGATATCTTCGAGTTCCTCCAGTGAGCACTCCTCATTCTCCCTGAAAGGTGTTCAGAGCTTGTTACATGAAGTGATTGCTTTGCTATATTTGGCCTTGAGAGTGGAGAGTGCTATGTTTTACAGTCTTCAGATATAATTGCTGCTAATCTTTAAAAATGATGCAATCTATAGGTCGTTACATTGCAGTTGGGAGCGCTCGTGGGTTTGTGTTGTTTTTTGTTTTCCAGGTGTGCAGTATTAAAAAGATGTGACGTGCATCAGAGATTAATATGTAAAAAAAAAGTGGCGGAGCTGGGAATGCCAGCTGGCTGAACCATCCATAAAATCTGAATCCTGAATCCTCATACAGCCTTTCTGTCTTCATCCATCAGCCCACTGCAGCTTTTCCCATCAAGTCAATCAATTTTTTATCCTCCACAGTAAACCCACACCAACATAACTAATAAATTTGTCCCATGTTCCTCCCCTCACCCCCAACCAGTCGTCAGATGGCTGCCCATCCCTGAGCCTGGTTCTGCCAGAGGTTTCTTCCTGTAAAAAGGGAGTTTTTCTTTCCCACTGTCACCAAGTGCTTGCTCATCGGGTTGGAATATCTGATTGGTTTTCTCTCTAAAGTGCCTTGATGCGATTTTCATTGTTATTTGGTGCTATATAACTAAAATGGAATTGAACTGAAAACGTAAGCCTTAGTCTTCTGTCTGAATGACTACGCTTAGTTGGCTGGAAAGATGAGGAGGGATAAAAAGCCAAGAAGCCCACATTATACAATCCAATTTGTAGGAGTTTGTGAGGCATGCAGAAACACAAGTCTCAATGAATATGGTCTTTAACTTTTATTCCTCTCCACTCTCACAGGAAGAAGAGATCCCAGAGTTAGAAATCGACATAGACGAGCTCCTGGAGCTGTCGGATGAGGGGCAAAGAACCCGGCTGGAGGTAGGATTCTGTAGAATAGCCTAAATACTGATCTGATTAAACATCCCAATTGCTTGTTAATGACTTGTCAGTCATTTATTATTGTTGAGTGTATCTGCAACTAGTTCCCCTAAATTACATATGTATATTAGTGCTGTCAGCGTTAATCTCGTTAAAATGACGTTAGCGCCATAACAGCATTAACGCGGCAAATCTCCGGATCGCCCCATGTGAGGGCAGCACGGCAGTGAAGCCCCTCGCTGACAGCACTAATGTACATATTTGTATTTGGTTGTCCTTAAGAAGAAACTGACTCATAATGAAATCCTGTTGTGCAATGTATTCAAAGAAAAAACAATGGAAAAGTGTATACCTCTTTCTGTTTGTTCACTAGGAGTTGTTGCAAGAATGCGGGAAGCCAAAAGAGGTGAGACAAAAACTTAGAAAAGAGGACTGAAATAATAAGTCTACTTATTATTGTTTTAAAGTTACATAAAAAATTAAATAAAATTTCCCCATCTTCTCCACAGGATTTTATCAACGGGCTGCTCTACAGGATAAAGGGTCTACGTAAAATGTCAGGTCCACTGAAGAAATAATTGTAGGTCAAATTAAGAATGGAGACAATGTGGAGCCGCTCATCTTCCCGTCCCCCCACGCATTAACCATTTGGATGCCTGTAGGTGTGGATCAGAGGGACTATATTCCTGCCCCCTGCCTCCTCCTGCTGGGTCATCATCAATGTAACACCAGAGCTGTGGGGCTTTGAATTGATTTTTTTTTAATGTTATTTCAAATTCATTTATAGACTGCTTCAACATTTTGTTTCCCAATACCATACCAATAACGTACACGTGATACAAGCTGTACTGACTATTACTCAGACGGACTGTTTCTTGTGTATGACTGTACATTTTTAGTTGCTTATTTATGTACATAAATATTTTTGTTCAGATAACAGTGTTGTCAAAATGTAAAAAAAGAAAATAAAAACATTTCAACATTTTCAAGACAATGCTCACATCTGATTTTTAACAAAGTGATACACCAATATGCTTCATCAGGTATTATCATTTCCACTCATTCAAATAAATAGTGGCGTGTACATTACACTAATTGGTTTACAGTACCAGTTAAACTACCCTGAGCTCATAACTGCTCAGAAACACAGATAATGATTTTGCCCTACAGTCTACAGACAACTTTCCTACAGAACGGCAGTCAGCATTTTATTCCCAAAACATAAAGTAGTGTTTTCAGGCATTTTCAACAGATTGATGGAAACAAAGGAAACTTTGACATGTCAAGAGGAGGTGTAAACACACGGAGATCAGCAACAAGATGTTCCATTAAGGATGCATCCATTATCCTCGTCCATTTCCCGTCTGGGGTATGTGTATGACACGGCCAGAAAAGGCACAGTAACACTTTCCATATGAACCTTAATGGAGCAAACCCCAAGAGAAGAGTGTAATTATGGTTTCTCCTCAGCCAGACAGTAATGCACGCTGATGAGCCTGCACTCTGGCCTTCTGTCAAACACAGAGGGTCTTTCGGGTGAGGTCTCCACTATAGAAATTTATATGGTTCTCCTCAACTTCTCTGACAAAGGCATGTATAATATAAGAACTGCACTCCTTACAAGGCCTGACAGACTGAGATATTTTTATCAAGTAATAATACGTTGGATCTAAAAGGGAAGAAAAATAAGGCTTTAATGTTTAAATTAAGACTAAGGTATGCTGCATGCTCTCAACGACGTGACATAGTTGCTAACACTTATCCTTTATTTATAACGAAATTACACACACAGCCGAACACAGATTACAAGAGCGACTGCAGTGACTGCCAAAAGAAAACAAAGCCCTTAGTAATCCTTTTATACTGACTCCTCTGTGCTTCTTCGGTGCAGAGCTGACAGCAGTCTGGGAGTGTACATCATCCCAGATGAGCTCACGACGTGTCTGCTTTCTGTATGGGTTATAAAAACTTGGAAATCATCATATGATGACAAGTGCAAAAGAGCACTTTAAATAAGCCTTTGTTGCTATTAGGAAGTAGGACAAGTCACAATAAAAATAAACCCAATACTTCTTATTCAGATCAACCATATGAATTTTTGGGATTCCTATGTGAAGCGGCCGTGCAGGTTTGCTGCAATACCTTCACAAATATTACATACGTCTATTTTTATACATTCCACAAAAAATAAACTATATTTAAGATATTATACATATTATAATGCATTTACATTGTGTTTATGGTCCTTATCTAACCCGTGCTTTGCAAGAAATATTACCAGTGGTTTCTTATTATGCTTCATTCAATTAGTTCAGCCTTAGCATTTACTGAATAAAATATGTTGAGGAGTTCTGATGGTTTGTGGCTTGTTTTAGATGATTAGAGAGACTGTTTTCTAACAATAGTAAGTCACTTAAGGCTAATGAACAAGTCTAAGTGTGATGGCTGGCCTAACTCTACCAATCACCTGCAGCTTAGCTTCACTATCATGTCTCCCTCTTCTTCTTTGGCGCAGTGTAGTTAGTGGTGCGATGCTCCTTCCTATCATATTTATCATGGCCTTCCCTGGGGACATAATGAAGCATGGATTGATAATTCATCAGACTAAATACTTTATATTCATGCTGCTTAACAGTAGGGCAGCAGCTTGCCTGCAATTTATCTGGGTCATGGTATGCATTCCAAATCACAGAGATCTTGTTTTTTTGTGTGCAGTCAAGGCTTCCATGCAAAAGTCTATCATGAGTCTAAAGTTAGGCTTTTTTTTCTTTCTTTCTATAATTAATGCATTTCATACTACCTGAAGCAGCGGTTGCAGTACAGATCTCCATCACAGGTGTGACATCGAAGGCTGGCATCTTGGTTACAGATGCAGCACCACGGAAGCTCTTCTTCGTCACTGTCTGACGGCTGATGTGCATCGGCAGCAGGTAGGTTCCTGCTCTTAGGTGCCGGAGGCGGAGCCTTTAAAATAAAATCAGATCGGGATTTAAATTTTATGCACTCACGTAGCTTTAAAATAAATAAATAATTCAAGCGTGGTTTTGTACCGGTTTCTTGGACGATTTTTTATTTTCCCTATTCCTTGGCCCACTCTGTTCTAAAGGTATGTTGTAGCCACTGGCTTCATCTAGTGTAGCTTCTTCTGAGAGCTGAAAGCATACAAGAAAAAATAAGAAGTGATTAAACTGGCAAAATAGCAGCCCCTTGTGGCTAGGCACACTGGTCTGAATTAGTTCACTTGCACCTTTAGGGGTGTAAGATGTACGCAGAAACAAATTATTTATAGTTCATTATCATCTCATGGTTATTTTTGCCACACCTGTTTTAACACTCTCATAACAGCTTCTTCTTCAGTCTCCTCTTCACTGTCAGGTTGCTGGAAGTCCTCCATAGTAACTATAAATGAATCACAATGAAAATGGGGCATGATACACTAGCATGCTAGGACTTCTGTCATGGAAACTGCATTTACAACGCACGTCCTTATCATATTTTATGACACACTAGTGCGTGGATAACAGATAAGGTGAGGTGAATGGTGCTCGAATAACTCACCTTTGTCCGGGTCCTGCCCCTTCAGCTGTGCCAGCCTCTTTGCCATGTGCAGGATCTGATCCTGAGAGTGACTTTCTTTCCTCAGCTCCTCCATAGCTTCCTCGAGCAGATGGGCTTTCTCAGCCTCCAGCTGCTTGGCTGCATCCTGGTTCTCTTCCAAATTCTCATCCAATGTACCTGCCTCACCTTTATTGAGATCATTCATACGGCCATCTACACCTTCAGATTTAATAACAGTGTTGTTCAGTACCTGTTTATTAATTTTACAATATAAGAATGAATGTTATGACTGACTCATTACTTATTGGTTTAAGGCAGGTGAAATCAGGGAGAAACGCAATATCTTACTGCATTCAGGATTTGATTGTTGGTTGTCAATTGCAACTTCCTCTGTCATCTGACTTATCAAATCATTGGCTTGTTCAGTCTGGGTCCGGTTTTCTGGAGGCTGATGCACCTACAGACATGAATAGACAAGCATATATACTTGGAGTTAAGGGACACTGTTTAGTATTGAGTTCCCTCTAAATAAATATTTGAAGCTATTGAGCTACTGAGCTGTACTGTAAGGCCTAAGATGTTACAAACAAGCAGGAAGAGATTCAGCTCACAGGTCGAGGAGCTTGAGATGGTGGAGGGAGACCCTGCAGAGTGGCCAGACGGTCCTCCATCTCCTGTGCAGAAGGTACTGGCTTGCTGGGAGCTTTCAGAGCAGCAAGTCGGGACTCGAGCTCTTTGTCAGAGGGGACAGACCCTGAAGAGAAGGCAAAAAGCTTACTCCTTACCTTGTTTTGGAAAATATTATAATATTACTACACTTGCTGGATTAAATAAAAATGAGAGCTGCTAAAAATCTTATTACTAGGTGCTGTGTCCTCCTTGAGCTTTTGAAGCCTTTCAGCAATTGCCTGATCTTCTTTGCTCAGGCCGCTGGTTGGTGGATGTCCTGCTTTGCTGGTCCTCACAGGCTGTGTTGGCTGTCCTTGCTGTTTGGCCTCAAGTGCAGCGACCCGTCTAATGGAAGACACGTGTACTTTAGATGTTATGAAACCGCTGTGCTGCCAAAGTTTAAGTTATTCCCTTATTTGATCGTATACACTGACTTTTTATAGTTTTCTGGAGGAGACCATCTGCCAGCACTGGTTGAAGATGGCCCACTAAAAAGAAAGAAATTAAAATGAGAGAGAAGCTCCAAAGCCCAAACAAAACTACTTTTAGGGTTTTTTTCTTCCTTGCAGGGTTTGAGCGTTACCTGGTCAGATTACCATGGCACTGTTTACAGACCTTCTGCTGGGTGTTGCCACAGCGAGGCACCACAGCACTGAAAGTCAAGCAGCTGGAGCAGAAGGAGCGGCCGCAGTTCTTACAGCCCAGCTATGACGAACATTAAATAGATCACTTTATTCAAAATGTACCTCTATGTATGTCTATGTGGTTAGCATTAGCCGTGAAATACTCACCTCCTTCTTGAAGAGGCTAAACTTGGATGCACAACAATAACATCGACTGTCCATATCGACACATGCAGAGGCTCATGGGTAGGGGGATGTTAATGCTATCGATACAGCTACAGTGGGTTAAAATGTCTAAGAAAACACACTCAGTCGTGAGCATTAATTTGGCAGCTAGCTACTAGCAACTATTTTCAGGTGTTCATTCAAAACAGGAAGCAACGCGGAAGAGGAGGTATGACGTAATGGAAACGCATTTTCCGGTTTTCCGTCCAATCAGAGTCCTGCTAAATCTCTGGCGGTTCTTGTTCAAAATACAGACACAACCGTTCAACAGCTTTACTGCGACAACGTTGGAGTTCGAGCTGCCACCTAGAAAAGAAATAAAGGAGGCTCGGAAGCGGTATAGAACACGCACATTTTGTAGAAAGTCTATTTTAATTCAGTTATGTAAATTTGTCGTCGATGGAAAAAACGCTAAAGTTGGTCAGGCTAAAGCTATCGTTCGCTAGCTAGTGTGTTAGCTCCAAACACATGCACTTCCTAACGTTAACAGGAGCGCAGGGAGAGTGTTGATAGCTAAACATTATTTTGTGTACGTGTCACACGGTTTGTAATACGATGGAAGTTTACCACATAATTATTTAAAATGTATTGTTGTTGAAGTGCATCGTTAGCTCATGTTGTCCTGAAACTTGTTCAGTATGCCTCCTGGACATCATGCTATTTAGTTCTCACACAAAAGAACTAATTAAGCCCGAAATAAACAATTATAATGACAGTGCCAGTAATATATTACTTTTGGCTATACAGAGATAATAATAAGCTTTGTGTATATCACATTTAACGTTAGTGTATAACAAAGTCAGAACATCAAAAAAGTTATTTAAAATTAAATACAACTACAACAAAAGTGCATCAAATGAAATAAAAAGTAACAGACTTGACCAGTGAAAAATAAAATAAAAACTGAATGAAACTACATATTACTTAAAGCAAAGAAGTTATATGAAATTAAAACAAGTGCTGTCTGTAAAGAATATTCAGTCACACTCAGGCTTTGGAGGGGGCTGTTAAGTTTAAAGATTTCAACACAGCCAGGTCCTCTGGCAGGCTGTTCCAGCAGCTTGAAGCATAACACTGAAAAAGCTACCTCCCCAGAGGTTTTGTCTTGCACTTTGCAACAGCTAGAGGATTTAAATAAAAGGATTTTAAAGTCAACAGGTGTGATGTACTCTCTCCTTTTGGTCGTAGTAAGAAGTCTGGCAGCAGAGATCTGAATCAACTCAAGTAGATTTTAGGTAGATTAGATAGCAGAGCCTTAAAGTAGTCCTGCCTGCTATGTATATAGAATTGGTTTGTCAGGGTCACCAAGATAAAAGGTTGCATTCTAGCAACATTTTTGAGTTATAAAAAGGATGATGTAGTGGCACACCCAGCACAGCCCTCAAGTTATGATCTGAGTCAAGACTTATCCAGTCAAACTTGGGTAAAAATGAGAAACAACAGGATTGTGGTAAATTTTTAAAGCATAGATAAAACTATGAAGGTCACCTCAGAAAATCTTCCTTTAAAACCATTATACAACTTCAAAATTATTCTGTTATTCATTTTGTGACAGTATGGCGTCTTTCTGACCAACAATCTAGAATATAAATTTCACATCTCTGGGCCTTTTTGTTTGTTTGTGGGGGGGGGGGCACACTGATGATGTAGTAGTCTCAAAAATTCTTGTGTCAAATATGAGGCATTAAAGGGTTACGTTTAATTTTTATTGTTCTATTGATTTGCCTATAAGGTGATTTCTTATTGAAGTTAGATTACAGATCAGAAATTTAAAAATAGGACAACTTAAAAACTGCAAGCAACTGAATTAAATGTGTATACAGAGGGCGAAATAATGGTTTTGATCCAGGACTGATTCTGTGGGCACGTGTGCTTTATACACATAACAAGTTGAGATAAGGGTATCTCTAATTGATTGATTTTTTTTTTTAATTTGCCAATCAGTGTAGGGCTGCTCGATTATGGCAAAAATGATAATCACGATTATTTTCACTGAAATTGAGATCACGATTATTTGACGATATTTATTTAACCCTTTAAGACCTACTATAGAACCAAGTCCACCAGAGCTTATATTATTTTTTTACATGCTGTAGTGCCATTTGTGGGAGCATTTCAAGTTGCTATACATCAATACAACTGTTATAGCCCATATTTTAATAATATGTATGCATTAAGTCCATAGTAATTACATAAATTGCAAAAAAGTGCAATAAACTACAAAAAAAATTGAAAATCGCTTTTGTTTTGTTTACATATATTTCTACTTGGAGAAATTTAAGAGGTTTATCCCTCAAAACTTTAAATACAATAAAGTTGCAAAAAATAGTTTCCCACCACAGGAAATTTATTTTGAGTGTCTTCATAGTTTTATTTTGGAGATACAGCAATTTTTATATACTGCAGGAAAAACAAAAAACAATCCTATGATGCAAATTTGCAAAGAAAACAGCAGGTGCATCATTTCACTGTGGGAAGTGTTACGAACAGCTGATAGGAACGGCAAAGCGTGTTTCTGGAATATTATGTTTTTGTTCCTGCAAGCGCTTTTTATGCAATTTTTGCAAAGCTATATGTGGAACGAAACCGTGACCGAGGACAAGCTGATGGCATCAGATGTAAGTACAACTCCTCCGGTTTCATATGCAAAACAAATTATTGCGCTAGCTTACACGGTTCAGGTTCTACAGGGATTTAACAATAGTTACGCAAAACGGAGCGTGCTGCTCTGACCGGCTTTAAAGGGTTAACAATGACTTTAAAAAAATAATATAAAATAGTGTGCAACACCACTGAAGTTTTTTTTTTTAAACTCTCTTTTCAACCAACAGCAGTCACTCTCCAAATAACTTCTGCTTAGCTTTCCGAGCTTCCCTCGGGTCCTCTTAATCAGCGGTCTCCAACCTTTTTTGCGCCACAGACGGTTTATGCCCGACAATATTTTCACGGACCGGCCTTTAAGGTGTCGCGGATAAATGAGGGAGGGGCTAATAATCGGCTCAGTCATTTTTAATGATCGTTGAAAGCCCAGATCGTAATCGTGATTAAAATTCGATTAATTGAGCAGCCCTAAATCAGTGGGAGCCAGATTTCTGGCTGTTTGTAGGGGACCAAGTGCTTATTTCACTCAATAACAAATCCATTTAAAACTGTCATGCAGCTTTTTTTTTTCTGGGGTTCTGCTTAATTCTTAATTACAAATTCAGCCGGGGATAAATATCAAGTAATTAATTCTCCTGCTGTATGTATCTAGTTTCTGTCTCAGATATGGCAGAAGGAGGAGATGTGGAATGGGAGCTCAGCAAAGAAAACATCCAGCCTTTGAGGCGGGGAAGAGCCATATCGGCCTTACATCAGGCGCTGAGTCAACAACAAGATGGACCCACCTCTGCAATCAACCAACAGCGACAGTATGGATGGCTATTTTAAACTTAAATTAGGTGACAGAGATTTCTGTTGTACATTTTGTCCATGCATTTTTTTATATGATGAAAAAAGACCTTGTGTATATTTATTTCTGCAGGGCATTTGAGTCCGAGTTGCGCACATACGAGGGCGATGATCCACTTAGTGTTTGGGATCGGTAAGGGAAATATGTCAATAGCCAAGTGTGCTCATAAACATTGCTCTTAAATTTCCCTGTAATCCTAACACGGTTTTATTTTTCCAGGTATATTAAGTGGACAGAACAAACCTTCCCCCAGGGTGGAAAAGAGAGCAACCTCACCACACTGCTGGAACGGGTCGTGACCAGATTTACAGAGGAGAAACATTATCACAATGACCCCCGCTATGTTGACCTCTGGATCAAATTTGTGAGTGCAAAAGCATAACCTCTGACTATTTCTGTTACTTTGACAAACTAATGCTGCATTTATAACTTTTCATTACATGTCACCAGGTGAAGAACTGCCAAGAGCCTTTGGAAATTTACAGATACATGCAAGCACAGGGAATTGGAGTAACACAAGCTTCCCTCTACATTGCTTGGTCAGAGGAGTATGAGGATCAGGGCAATTTCCGCAAAGCAGACTTGGTCTACCAAGAGGGGTTCAGAAAGAGTGCTGACCCACATGATAAACTCCTACAGTTTCACAAGTATGGAGGCATCCAGTATAGTTTCTGATAAATGAATATCTCTGTTATGTTGTTACAGTGATCACATTTTTCTGTATTTATATTCGCAGGGCACTGCAGGCACGCGTTTCCCGGCAGGTGATGATGAATGTGGAGGAGGAAGACAGTGATGATGAGCCTAAGCAACTCGAGAGAGTTTCTCTAGCTGATCTGAAACACAGAGGGAAGAAAAAGGCTGTCGCCCCCATCAACAGAACAGGGGCCGGAATCAGAAGTAAGCACATGAATATACAAATAAAATGTGTTTCAAAATACTAAATTGATGATAACAGTACTTTAAGACTGGGAAAAACATAATGAGTTTGTATTCAGGTATTCCCGGTGGCCTGAAGTCACAAGGCGCCCCTGTTCTTGGCAGTAACAGTCGGTTGGTCATCTTTGACGAGAATAAGGCTCAGAGCGCAGGCCCATCGGAGCCTAGATTGGAAGCTTGGGTGGCTCCTCCCACATCTAGGGCGAAGGAGAATGAGCAGAAGCCTGAGCGATGGTGTGATGTGAAGGTATGGGAGAACAGGCTCATTGTTGTGTGTATTGAAAGCCATTATGCAAAGTTGATTCATAACTTTCTTTTTATGTCGTCATAGATGCCCCAAAAGTCCAAATTTGGACATACTGTTATGGCGCCACCGCCTCCCAAACTCACTTTCCAACCGTTTGTGGAGGAGTCGGATCAGCCTCCTACAATGTGAGTTACTATAAAAACCTTCATTTTTTTTATTCATTCATTTTTAATTTTAATCATTATTTTGACCAGGGGGGAACAGACAAAGAGACAACAGGCAGGAGCATTAAAGGTTCAACAGAAATGCTCTGAGTACCAAGATCTCAAATTCAAATTTTATTTGTCACACACACACAACCATACACAGTATGACATGGGGGTGAAATGCTTGTAGCTGTACAATGCCCGACCATTAAATGACAGAAGAAAAGTTTTACAATATTTACAATTTACTACAAAAATTTACAAATTAACTTAGGAAATTACAGTAAAGAACGTGCAAATAGCAGAAGAGATTATAAAGAT